GTCTCCATGATTGCTACATTCCCTACATAGGCTGCTGTAAGCCAGCAGCCAAATACAGAGATCTTCAAAGAGAAAATAAAATAAAACTGCAGGAGGAAAACCAACAAGAATGACTAGGTCAAACAAAGAAATAGCTCAGCACTTTCAACCTCCTCCTGCAAATAGGTGAAATCTTCAAGTTTGTTGGACTCCTGAGTAATTTATGTTGAGACAAGACTACAGAAATGCATTACATTGGACAGAACAGTAATGTATAATCGCTCACCCAAGAAGCAGGTATGTCTAGAGGGCAGGAAATGTCAGTTGAATACAGCTTCCTTTTGGATCTTTTTGGCTTCATCCCCTCCTTTCCAAGACTTTCTGGTTCAGGAGATTTTGGGGAGCTTACTGCTGCCATCAGCTTCTTGGCTAGAAGGAATTTGTTTTGATTCATAAACTAACCAACTTACGGATTTTGTGAGTCTTTATATCAACAAATACCAAAAGCTTCATTATAAACTTGGTTTATAAGTGATACATCAAGTTTAAATTAAAATATTCAGAAATTGCAATGGTCCATCAAGGGTATGAAAAACAAACATGACTCAGAAGTCGCTGGAAGTGAGGAACTTCGGCAGGAGCTAAACAACAGGCCTCACTTTTGTGCTGACAGAAGCACAAGGTGGAGTCAACTTCCTCTGCATACTTGCAGATTTTCATTCAAGTAGCAATGAATCTCGGAAGAGATGAATAAATGCATTTATTTCATAAGTTGAAGAGCAACTTACCATGGCAGACAAGTTCTCTAAGAATATATACATTCATAGCCTACAGCAGAAACAAGCCATTCTGCAGTGCCTACAGAAGGTGGAATAAATCTTACTTATTCTACACCAACCTTTAGAGTGAATAATAGAAGGAGTACTTTGAAGAAAATCTCCAACTTTGTGTAGAGTTCCATCACTCCTGCTAGTCAATCTTCTACCGGAAGTACATACTCGCTTTCTAAGGAAGTACTCTTTTCTGGATTTCTGTTTAACAGACACGTGAACAAGAAATAAGAGCATTGTTTAAGCTTTATTTTAGGTCAGTGTTATCTTAAGCCGACATTTTGAGCTTTGCTACTGACACCTGTGTTTATTATGCTAATGATATTACAACTGCAAGTAACGTAGACAATTTTATACCCTTTAGGGAGTTGTCAAAGTCTCAGCAATTCCAAGGCATAAGTTTCTTAACATTTGTTAAAGAAGCAGTAGTTTCTTTAAAAGTTAATCCCAAGCTGTGGAGATGTTTCTTACATAAGCTGTTCTAATTATAAAAAAATAAACAAACATACAAAACAGAAGACAACAGATTGGGAAAAACCTACTCTTCACACTCTTACCATGCCAAGGATACTCCTAAGACATTAAAACATCCCTTTTTAATCATTCCCATGCATACAAATCACATGAATCTCAGCTTAATACAGGGGCTTCACTTACAAAGCGCATGATAATACGCTCAGACTTCTCCTCCCAGCTATTCAGTCTGCGATATCCTTTCCACCAAATCATTCCACACTACAGCCCAGCCATTATACACTCTTGGGACAGACCAACTTGCTCTATGGTAAGCTTATGGGATTTAATAAGAGTTTAAGATTCCCATTCAGCTACACAAATAAGGATAAGACACTGCTGCATAAGAATGTTTACTCCCTTCAAATGGCCACACTATGACAGAAAGTCCCAAACTAGCTTCCAAACTAGAACAAAAACCAACCATTTTCTCGTCGCTTGTAGAGGGTGAATTACAAGCCATGGCAGACTTTGCATTTTTCGAGTTCTCACTTATCACAAAATCCTGGGAAAATAAGACAAGTTTTAGCCACAAATCGTTTAGAAAGATTCACTTTTCATTAGGTAGATCACAAAAGCAAACACTTTCAACGCTATTGCATTCAGTAATAGGGAGGTATTTGCAAGTAGTAACAATTCCAATGTGAATCAAATACTAAATAAACATTCAAGTGCACAAACGGGTTGGTAGCATTATTAAGATATCAGTATTAGACATCCTGTGATGAGATGCCATCCCCATACGGAGCGGACTTTTTTCTCCTTTTCAGAGGAAACACTCAGATATTTCACACAAAATAGAAAGCAAACGTATAAGAAGTCTAAAAAGCTGACTGATGTCTACGGATTTTCAAAGAAAATTCACAAGGGAGTTGAGATAAATTCTTTCCCTTCTCTTAAATCATTATCACCCAGCTTGGCTATTAGTTTAGTTTCATTAAAGCTTGGACTCTCCAACGCCAAGGTTCATCAATTAAATGCTTCAACCACTTTCCTGAGATAGAAGTAGCATTTTTTAAAGCTTAAATGAGGAATGGTAGAAAGGCATCAGATATTTCGTTTTCTGTTTGGTGTAGGTCATACCTCATCCATGTCATCACTTTTTCTCTTCTTTCTTGTCCTAGGCATTTTCACCCTTGCAGGTAACATGCTGTCACGCTGCTTTATCTCCATCTTATCAGGTTGCAGAGGTGACAGTTGGATTTCCACCTCTGGTTTTGGGAAACAACCAGTTTTTCCATTTTCTGTGGATGCTTCAGAAGAGTGGAGGTCAGTTTCCAAATGCTCCTGATAGCACAGAGAAATTTTAAGTGCAAGTGTTAGGGAAGCCATGAGATTAAAAAACTATCATGCATCTGGAAAAGGATATGCAAACACTCAGTATCCCAGCTGTTAGCTTACAGAACACTTCTAACCGAAGAAGAAGTTTGCCCTTCCTCTTCTACACTAGAGTTGCAGAGATCCACCCAACCCTGTTTTTCTCGGCAGGAACAACAGAGTCAGAGCTGTGATCACCTGGACTCCTCCTTCTCTATGGCAGGAATTCAGCTAGTAGCTAGCATATCAAAAGCAAGTTCAGATGTTGAACAGAACATGGAAGACGGGCTGCTGGGGACATCAGGAAATGGCAGATGGCTGCTACTACTGCCATAAATGCATAGAACTGCTACTTTACGAAAGCTAGCAAAGTTAGAAATCCTGCAGGGGAAGAAAACAAGTTCAATTTGCTGTGCCCATTTCAGTGGCTCTGTAAATTGCTTTCCAGGTGACTCATTTAATCATGAGCCACGTCATAAGCATCAACGAGAGGAAAGTTTTCAACAGCAAATAAGAGGAATTCATCACACAATGGTTTCAACAGCTTTTATTCCTACCAAAGGCTATGAAAACAGATGATCTGATCACCTTGAAAGGGATAAACAAAGCTTGAGAATTGTGTAGAGAACTCGAGACCTTTTCCTACTCATTCCTTATCAAGATCAGTACAACTACAACATTTTCAGATTTGAAGTTGCATACTAACCTCAGATTCATTTAATGAAGTGACACTGCTAGGACGTCGAGTTGATGAATAATTCCCTTTATCTTCACGTCTTCCTGGAATACTTTCTTCATCTCCGTTTTCAGTTTTGCTTTCTTTTTTCACAGCCTGTAAACATTTAAAATCAGTAAAGATCAAGCTGTGCAGCACACCTCCAAAATACTTTGAGTTTTCTAAAGTTTCCAGCGTAAAATCTCAAGCTCAGACACCACATGAACAAGTAAGTTGAAACACAGCACAAATCTGTGAAGGTAGTAACATCCATTCATCGTGTAATCTTCAGATTCACCCTACTGGGTCTCTCCAACAGCCTCATTCAGTACTCTACCTCCAAAAGAGACCAAGTCAGATGTTACTTAGGGACAAAATCTGTAATGCTGGTCGTCTTGTCATTCATTCAGCCCATACTCTCCGCACGCTCACAGCTGCTATGTTAGAATGCCAGAGACTAAACCTCTGCCTAATCTTTAGTGTCCACACATGAACACATGGAAAACTGAATGGAAAAGTTCCATTGCATATATACAGAGGTGGAGTTCCAGTAAATAAAATGCTTCTGAGAGGATGAGAGCACACGCCTGAGTGGAAGACAGAAAGAACCAACACTCATCACTGAATATGTAGTTAAAGGACTCTATGTTAAGAAAAGTGATTCTAACTCCTGGGAGATTCCCAGTATATCTAGGAAAACAGCAGAACAAAAAGGGATGAACAAGACTTTGAGTACATATTTTCTATAAATATAATCATACCTTTTCATTTACAGAACGATCCATTCTACCTTGTCTTTCTTCAAGTAAAGGTACTTCTGACAAAGCCTGGGGGTTATTGTGGCTGATGCGTTGTTTTAATTCCTTTATGAAGTCATCTTTGTCAGCCAGTTCTTTTCTTACCTCTTCTATCACAGTTTCATTATCCTAATAAACACCGTAAAAATTGCTGAGTTGCAGGATTGGCAAAAGGAGCTAACACACACAAGCAGCACTGCAGTTACTTAGTAGCAACCATTTCAGAATTGCAGGCTAAGGCAGTAAGCTAATCAAGAACAATAACATTTCATGGTTTTGTATGGTCACTGCTACAAGTGCAGTAGTCACCTAATTGCCTGGGAAGATGTATTACAATAGGTATTGAATTCTTTTCTTTTCTTCTTCTCTTGTGCTTCAGCCTTTCTCTCAAGATACAAGAATAAAAAGAGTTTTTATTTGTTCACGAAGACCTCTGTACTGTGAGAATTATCAGCACTTGTAGGGGAAGTTTTGTTATGAGCACAGCTCCCATCCCACAGAAGGAGATATCCAAACATCCTCAAAAAAGCACAACTCAATTAGTCTTCTGTTTAGCTTCTGAAGTTCCATGCTATTGCTTAGATTGGCTGTCCTGATTTAAAGCTGGACAGTGAAATAAAAAAAGGCAACTTCCAGAGATCATTCCCCCTCTGCCTTTGATGCTTCCCTGCATCTCTCTTCACATCTCCTTCCGTCTTTCCATGCCATTGTAGATACTAGCTCAGAGAAAACAAAGAAAGTAAGAAACCTGAGACAGAACTACTATCTGACCAAGTATTGAGCCTAGCTTGGGACCAAGAAACGCTGTGAATTATGGGAAAAAGTTACAGACGTCCAGACTAACCTTAGGATCAAAAGCATCAAACTGACGTCCGTTTATTTGAACTACTAAAAATTTTGAAACTCTAGCACTAACAGAAATCCTGTTTCTGAAGAACGGAAGTAAAATCTGGTGCTTTTTTTGGTTAGCTGCACTGCACACGATGTCAATACGACAGTGTTTAAGAACAGAACTACACCCAAAATACAAAGAACAGGCATAGCGTTTTGCAGAATTTATGGGTAGCCAATCAGGTAGAAAGAAAAGAGAGCTGACCTTGCTTGAATCCTTTAAGGCCGATCGTTTCAGTTCTGCTATTTCTCTCTCTCTTTGCACGGCATTAGCAGCCAACGTTTTGAGCTGTACTTCCAAAGCTTCTACTAACTGATCTCTCTCTTCACGCCACTTTTGAAGATCGCAGTCCTTTTCCTCCAGCTGGGCAACAAGTCTTGCCTAAACAAAGAAAAGATTATCGATGAACAGCACTAGCACACACTGAAGGGTTCTTACAGTGTGGTAGTAGCACTGTTTTACAGTCTTAGTAAATGTATGATCTCTTCAAGATCCACGGGAGCTCTAGAACTACTGCACTACAAACTACAGAAGCAAAACCATGCTTCTATTAGACAATCTCTGTTACTCTCCTTGTGAAAAATTATCATTGGTATTATTTAAGAACCTCCACTTTGGTTTGCTCATTTAGTGATTACTAACAGTACCAGTCTCCTCACATCCTCTGTGCTGCTTGCAGGTCCAGAAAGTCAGGACTAACTACTTCCGGATGCAAAAAAGGTTTTGTGCACCATACAGATTTACATGTTTGAGAAGTTACATGACAACAGCTCAGTGAACAGCTCAAGCAACCACTTTGTTATCAGTCACTTCTTGGAAAGTGATAAGGGAGCAAAAAAAAGGGAGCAGATTCACCCAGCAGTTTTATTCAGTATCTGGAGAGAAGTTAGTGGGGTTCCTTTGGAAACTCCATTGCCTTTTTCTTCCTTATAAAGGCTTAGAGGCCTTCTGTGTTCCAGAAAAGAAAACAAACAAATCCTATTGTTCAAAATGTTTTCTTAGACTCATTAAGCAGTAATTTATTTTTCAACTGTAATTTTCTTATTTAAGTCCCACGTACGTTACATTTCATTACGTAGTTAGGAAAGCTTTGTCTTTTTGTGACCCTCCTATTCCTCCCTTTTCCAAATCAAGCAGTTCTCATACGGGCTTCATAAGAAAGCAAGGGGACTTGGACAAGCTACTCTTACGTGCCCATACTGTTAGTACTTGGCGTGAAGTTGTCTCCAAACTACAGACTCTGGATGACTCTGCCAAGACCTCGTCACTTACAATTTGTGCTTGTTGCTTTCCGTGCCGTTGTCGGTCCTCAGCAAACTTCTTCATTTCTCTGTTGCGAAGATTCTCAGCTTCTTTTACCTGATTCAGGAGTCCTTCTTTTTCCTCCAGCCACTTCTTTCTATCAGTTTGATACTTGGCCTCACTTGTCTATTTCAAAGGAACCAGAAATGAAAAACTAAGTGATTAAGGAATAAAAGTCTTAAAAGCCAGGACGTCATTAAATAGACTTGTTTCTACAAGATCACAGAAACATTAGCAGTTTTTACTACAGAATGTACCCAGTGCATGTATTGCATACTCATCAGTTCATTTCCATTTAATAATAATATTTTTCAGTATTTCTTATTCAGACTGGAGGGACTCCACAGAACAACTTTTTCTCTTTGTAAATGTTCTTACAAGCATTACAGAACTTACACCAAAAGTCACTGCATGAAAAACTATTTTAACTTAAAGGTGTCTAATATTTTAAGCTGCCTTGCAGGAGATGTAGAAAACTTGCACCTCCTTTGGGGTTGAAAGACACAGAAACGTAACACAATTTACGCTGTAGGAATAGTCCATGTGTACTCAAGAACGTCACTCCAATACACAACAACTTTATCTCCTTTTCTATCGCAATCAACCTTACTGTCAGACACACTCACATATAGCATAGAGCATCTGAGAAACTACTTGAAAAAAAAATTCTTTTAACCAAGGCCAATTAAAATTAGACCCTCAGCACAACAAAAAAAGGCTTCCCGGCAATAAAGTTAGGTGCTGATTTGGATAGCTTATGCAAATTGCCCAAGCAACTAATAGAAAAAAGGTTGGACAAATGTATGTTAAGTTATAATTTGCTTTGAGTTAATATTCCTAGCACTACCTGGTCCTTATTGCACACTGCACTGCAGGTTGTACAGGAAGTTTTCTTCATCAATGTAACAGTTTACTTTATCATGTTATAAGTAGTCTCCTAAGTTGAAGTTACAACTTTAAAGTGAAGTTACCTTCAGCTCTTTTTGCAGCTTTATTAATTCTGTATGGTTTTCATTCACATTTGCCTCTTCCCTTTCCCTGTCCTTTTGCTGCCGGTCACTATTGCTCTGGTTCTGCAGTTCTCTGCATCTATGCTTCCACGTCTCCAGTTCTACTCAATACACAGAAAGAGGTTAGACACCTTATGGTTTCAAATGTGTATTTGAAACACCACATTAATGACTTTTTACTAAAGCCACTTAGGTTTTGCCTGCTGTAGAACAGAGAAATAACAGAAGCTTTTAACAAGTAGAAATTTGTTGTTTACTATGGAACATTAATGCCCAAACCAAGTGAAAATGGAAGTGGCTATCACAATACATCTAAAGCACTTATGCATCACTGCTCCTTTTCCACTGAAAGATTACCTGAAGCTAATCTTTCATTCTCTTCTAACTGAGCTTCAAGCGCTTGATCTTGTTCAAGCTGAGTCTCTTCTTGTTCTTCTAATGTCATCTTCATAGCTTCAATTATTTTTTCTTTTGCACACAGATCTGGAGGTTTGAAAATTTACAGATGAACTCCCTATTAGTTCCCGTTATCCTTTCCTGAGGAGTTTTCAAGTCGAGGTTCCCCCATGACCAAAAGCTCTCTTGAAAGAAATAGAGCATCTCTATTGAAATATTCACATACAGATACATACAGAGTTCTTAAGTGACTCTTACCAACTTGTTTTAGGTGAGAATTCTAGTGCTAGGGACAATCAGAATATGGAGTTTATTACATGAGAAAATGACTGTAGTTCAACTGCTCTAAGATCATCCTACAGCCTACAGAATCTGTTATTGCAGAACTTGACATTTCAGAGTTTGAGTTTACTTCAGAAGGTCAACTAAAACAGCACATGAGCAGCAGACTTTTTAAAAAGCACTGCAAATCTGCACTTTCTTGGAGACTTCTCCCAAATCTGCTGCTTTACTTTCAAGTTTACTTGATAATAGTCATACAGTAACATTTAAAGCAGTGCGTAACTATTAAACATCTAGTTTGGAGTTTCTCAAATCGTGTTTTAAAATATAAAAGTGTAAGACTCGCCAAAGTCATTAGCGATGTGACAACATTGACATGCATACTACACAGAGATAGAGAGAGAGAGAGAGAGGGAGAGAGAGGAAAAATAATGGCTGACCTTCACGTATTTTCTCATATTGTCTGGTGACTTCTTCCAACTCCTTGTTATTCAACAGCTCCTATATTTCACATTGAGAGAAAAGCATACACAGTAGAAACAAGCAAATTTTTAAGACAGCCTACAATCAGTCATTTTTTCATAAAGTACAAATAAGCATTCAAGCTGATAAGAAGGGTTTGAGGCAAGACATTTCAACTGACATACAGAGATGTCACTCATCAGAATCAGGTTATATGCAGCTATTAAACATGTATTTACTATGCAGCTTATTGTATTTAAAGCAATCTGCCAG